TGGGCTCCTACCTTGAGGGCCAGGAGGGCCAGGCTCTCCTGGTGGGCCTGGTAATCCATCCTTGCCAGGAGGTCCTGGAGGCCCATGGATATGAGAAGCTAAGATTCCTGCAGGTGTCTTCTGCAGCATGGCGGCACCTGACTGCTTCTCTATAAGGTGAGAAAAGTATATTCACATGGAGGAAGCTTTGAGATAACACAAGGAAGGAAACAATGAAGATGGACAACACCAAGAAAAACAGAGAAAATAATTATAAAAACTATTTCTACCTTCAAGGACCCTCAGTACTTCACTTCGGATAAACATTCTGAGTTCCTGTATGAAACTGGGATCACCCTGTGTGTTTGGAAAGAATAAATCAAACTCCACGGCAGCATTTTAACCCAAACAAGAAAGACAATGCAATTAAGAGAAAACTAAACAAAACTTTTATTCATAGTGAAATGGCAGCAGAGATCCAATAAAGATGCTAGCTACCGTGACATGGAAACCATAAGTATGCCTGTCATAAATCTCTTCTGAAAACAGGGAGGACAAAGTCACATTTCTTTAGTTCCTCAGTGAAATCTCACCGCTTTATAAACATGTGCATCTTAAACCCACCTGGTAATGGAACGGATTCATTTGGGGGATAGTAAATTACGTATTATACCTGTATAGAAATTTCTTTATGTCCACACATGTAGTAGTACACTCTGTGCTTAAGAGGAAAACTCATGCCAGCTTTGTGTACCTTTAAATGTATAACATGAAGGTAAAACTATAACGATTTTTACTCTGACACTGAAAGAATTTAAAAACCCTGTGGCTACAAAACAAGCAGCATACTTAGAGTCACTCTCAGCAGCATTGTTGGAGCTTTCCAGCACTGCACCGGTAACAATGGCAAACAATAGTAGCCTTGGACCTTGAATCTTTGCATTCAAAAGTGTTTTTCATCTCTGCTTTGAATGTTATATAACTACAGTGACTGTGTACAGTACGTGTAAACTACTTGTGACACACGGGGGTGTTTTTGCTGCTGTGCAGGGTTCTAGTCATGCCCACATATCTCTGTCTTTCTCTCTGTCTCCAGCTCTCTCCCTCTCTGACCTTCTGTTGCGCCCAGATGATCAGGAGTGGGAAGCATTGAGCAGAAAGAGAACAGCAGCCTCCCTTGCACAGTCTTGTTTGATGTTTCATGCTGAAATCTGTGGCTGCATCATTTTCCACCCAGGGAATGAGAACTTAATTCGTTACATAAGCTAAGGAAGGAGGTACTGTATGCTGATTAAGGGTTTAATCACCTAGGAGGGTAGTCTTTGTTTCCTCTGAGGTATCTGCATATATACAACTTACCAGGAGGTTTATACTCTCAAGATATCCTGGAGGGCCCGGATCTCCCTTTTGGCCTGGTGGGCCGATCGGTCCGATAGCGCCAGGATCTCCTGTGCGACCCCTCTCGCCTTGAACGCCTCTTTCTCCTGAAATCCCTGGATCACCCTGAAGTACAGACATAGCTCAGCTCCATGTGATGCAGTTATGACCAAACTGTTTAAGTATGGTAGAATTCCACAGTATAACAACCACAGCTGTGCCACAGTCACTACAGTTTTCAGGTCTTGCTCACTTAACATGCTGTGCACACTGATCCATTTTTCTTAATGTGTCCAGTCAGTCACCTGTCCTGCGGCTCGCCTGTTAACTATAAAGCTAAAAGCCTCATTTTGCTATATAACCAGCATTTGCGATAGATTACTGCAAAACTGTGACAAGCTTTTAAAATTTGCCTTACAATAGGAAACTCCACTGAGCGTTAAATGCCTTTATCTAATGCTTATGTGCTTGTGGGGATTAGTCATATTTGTGCTCAAGTGAAGACTTTCATTACTATTCATCAAAACCTTTTTTTTCCTGCATTAGAGTCTGAGTCATATACTGTAACAGCTTTTTTTTTAGAAAAACAGGAATGATGGTACTTATGGTACTCACACGTTCTCCTTTGGATCCTCTGTCCCCTGGATTCCCTGTAGCTCCCTAAAAAAGTTATAGGAGTAAGATAATTGGAAAAATGACTCATGCTGACCTTGAAGTTGTGTGTAGTGGGTGAAACCACTACACACAACTATGTATGTTCAGTAACATGCAGGGGCACACTCAAAACTCACATGCACACATGAACCAGCGATTTTGATTATTTAATCCCAACATATTAGCATATTGCTCATATTTATGTTAATATTTGGAGATTTTTTTTTCAACTTTCTGCTGAATTTACCTGACTTTGAGACATGTAAACTTTTCAGATGACTGTATATTGATTGTTTCTTACTCAGCTCAGGTGAATAGCTTGTTTAATATCTCTCTGTATAGTGTTTCACCTTCTGCAATGTCAGGGCTCCTTTATATCACTACTGATTTGTTTGAGAAATGCTTGCTTTCCCGCCAGCTGCCTGTACTGTATGGAGGAGCTAGGAGAGAAGCTACCTGTCTCTGGCTTCATGTCACAACATCTTGCATCTTCCAATCCCTCCCTGTCACTCCTCATTGCCTCCCTTTACTGCGCTCACAGCAATACCCCTTGGAGCATCTTTGTATCAATTTCCTGCTGGATTACAGGAGCCATGCAAAAGACAATCTGGCATGATGTGGTTTTAACGCGAGCATCTCTTTGTGATGCTGCTCTCCCCTGCCTGCTTTAATCTGCAGTACTCTGTATTCCCCGATGCCTGATGGGAGGCTTAAATCTATCATCTTGCCCAGTGAAATGTGCTTCCCTGAGTATTACATTAAACCTCAAAGCAGTATGCAAGGTGTCTGGGTGGAGGAGCAAAACCACCTGCTAGATGGCACTGTTGCCCCACCAGAAAGTCAGGTACCATGGCTGAATGACTGAGAATAAAACTGTAGAGAGGCTCTGTGCAGTGCAGAGATTTTGTATGAAAGAATAATAACTAATAATAATCAGAAAACAATAAATGGTGAACGCTATCATTAAAGCACAAGATGTAAATCAGGTAGCAAAACAGTAATAGGCAACTTATTGCCAGTACAATTTGGGGATTAGATTGTCTAATGTGTTGGGAATGGCTTTTTGTGGTGGATGTCCTGCATGCTGTGAGCCCATTCTGTGTGATTATGTAGTAAATAGTGTATGATACTGCTGATCAGTGACATAAAAGCACACTTTGCTGCAGTATTTGTTTTAATTTTAGCCAAGTTCATCAGGCAGGAAAATGCATATTTAAACTAAATGTCTATTGCCCTCTATTATAAACATTGTATCATTTCCTGAAATTAAGTGAATAATTGGTGTAAAAAACTAAAAGTCAACAAAGCCTTTTATCTGCTGAATTCTATTTAGCTTTTATCGTTAAAATCTTAAATATGCAAATAGGCTTAATGCACTTAGGATGTAGCTTGAGGGAGGGGATAAAAATCTGCTGTGCCATCTTTCTGTAACTCGTCTGATGTAAAGCACTTTCTATAAGGAGATTTGCAACGTGTTCGCACAACTCACCTTGTATCCAGGAGTTCCATCTTTTCCAGGTCTGCCCTGCTCAAGGAGCGCAACATAAACAAAGACATTTTGTATTAGCTCCCACCTTCGATTGGATCAGCACTGTTGCACTCCTAGTAATCTCCACAGTTAATGAGATATCTCAACCAAGGGATAATGATCCTGGTTGCTGTTCCATTGTGCACTTACAGGGAAAATTACAGAAACTATCTCTGATGGTAATTACATAGAAGAATGTAATCATCTACAGGACAAGTGATAGCTGACATACTGTATGTATTTGAACCATTTTGGTCTTGAATTATGTTCTTTTGTTTTTCATGCTGGTGAAAACAACCAGGGGTAAACCTGTTGATGTAGCAGTGTATTATTCAAAGATCTATTTGCAACCTGGACATTTAGTATAGCTTTGGCAACATCTAGTCATGATTACAGAGGGAAAAGCAACAGAATTCTTGTAGCATCCTTACGGGAACACCTTGGGGTCCCTCGGGCCCTGGGAATCCTGTCTCTCCCAGCGGCCCCCTCTCACCCTGTCAGAGAACAGAAAGAGCCGATGTGTCAGTTGGCAATGACAAAAGAATGACGTGTGGATTGACAGTTCAAAGAGAGTTAGAGGATACGGCTCACCGGCTCTCCTGGGATCCCTGGCTCTCCACGAGCGCCGGGCTTCCCCTGTCAATCACAAACACGAGAGGAGAGGAGACTGTGTTTGACAGGTCCTCAATGGTGTCATATCTACAGCACCTCTGCAGCCTCCCATTTATAACACAGCAACCAGCGAAAATCCACTGAACACACGATAGGTCTAAATGCAAGGTCTTAATCGAAGTAATGCAGTGCTATGGGACGTCAGCAGCAAACTTAAACAAGACAGGTGACTGATCAAGGACTCCAGGAAAATTAATAATAATAAAGAAAAGATGTCACTTACTGGTGGACCTGGCATCCCAGGTGGACCAGGAAAACCAGTATCACCCTGAATGAAACACAACAGCACATCAGACAGATGATACACACATTAGAATACACAGAAATGATGGTCAAGCAGTTTACAGTAACATCATAAACTGCCTCCATGTGATAATAATGAATTAGTCCTATGGGCAAATGCAATGCAAAAAGGCTCATTTAAAAACACATATACTGAGAAACAAGTGCACAAATATATATGTTAAGAACAACTAAGCTGTATTTGGGAAAATGTGTCCAATAGTAACAATCCATTGTTCAGCTAGTTGACTAATATATGTGGCTCCAAACTGCCATGTATTATTGTAACTCCAGCTCAGAAATTTCAAGGTAAAATTCTTTCAAACTATATTTTAAAACAAAAAACTCAAGTGATTGAATTTTTCTAAACTTAAACATGTTTCCATGAATTCAACAAGATGTGTTTCATGCACACTTTTACAAGCTGAATATCTAATCTCAGAAAGAAACACTTCATGCTGATACTGTGGCGTACCTTGGCACCAGGTAGCCCTTCAAGCCCGGGTAATCCCATGAGCCCTGGTTCTCCCTGTGAGAGAAAAACACACACCACCTGCTGTGTCAAGACCAAAAAAATCACTATTGATACAGACTAAGGGTTGTTAACTCCTCTTTTGGCAAACAAGAATGAAGATATTGTTGTCTCACAGTCCATTTGGTGATGATCTACTAGAAGACAAAGGGTATCAAAAGCTATCAATAACAATTACAACATAATCAGGAAATATAAATCAGTTCTACAGGAGCCCAGTGTTTCACACATTTCTATCAATCCCTTTGATATGCTTAGCCAAGTACTAATGCAACCTATCATAGGTCTATATGAAGGTAATCCTAAGAAGACACTGCCGTATTATATTATATGATCTGTGACACATGCTATCACACCTCATAGGCTAAAGATGGGATAGAAAAAGAGTCCCATTTGACAATCACAGCTTTGCTCTCTGCACTAAAAATAGAGACCCCATTCCCAGCGCTCAAACAAGTGATCGCCTCCATCTACCTGATTTCAATCAAGCTGCCATGGCGAAATGCCATTACACAGAGGAGAGGGGCGGCCGGTGCTGACATGGACGGATTGTGCAGGTAATTGTCACACATGTAGATTGTCATGTATAAGCGAGTGTGGCAAAAGGAATAGTGGGCCAGCCAGAGCATCAGCTGTGAAACAGATTGGGGCAATTTCACCACAGCACCGGAGCTGCTCCCACGATTTATTAAAATGTCAAATTAAAATCCTAGCAAAAAATCACACTGCAGCAAAAAAATACAACTGGCCTCGTAAGAATGAAGACTTCAGGTTGATGTGTCAAAGTGTTTCCATGTCTGTGCTGATTGTTTTCAGGCTTTGATATGGGGGAGGGGAGGGCATTTGAAGTGCAGAGAGGGTTCATAGGCCCCCACTGACAAAACAATATAGCACAACCACTTGATATTTGCAGGAGATATGACTTTTTTTTGGTTGTGCTGGAGCTCTACTGAGAGTGGTTAAGTGCACAGGCTTGAGGGTGTATTGACTTACGTTAGAGAGAACCACAGAGACAATGACAGAAAGCAACTGGCATCTCTGACCTCTCTAACTTTTCGGTAGGTACAAAAATAGACAAATATTTTATAAAAATGCATTCCAGATGGAAAAAGTTTTGACTCACTGCAGGTCCTTCATCTCCTTTGGGACCCTTGAGAGAGAAAAAAGGACAGATTACTCCCATGAATGTGACAACTGCTGCCACAAATAGCATAAATACACTGTACAATTAGAAGTCGCTACTGTATGAGATTCGCAATAAAATTTATTGTGTTCGTTATTGTTTCTCTTTTGTCATAATATCTGTCTTTAAATCACACTTACATAGTGTTATGTGTAAGTGTGGCTTTAATCAGGCAAGATTAAAGCTGACCAGGGTAATGAAATCCATTCTGACTAGCGCACATGCTTTTTAAACACTGGTGTACATGTTTAAAGCATTTTAGCATTTTTCCACGTTTAAAAAACTCTTTATTGATAAATTGAGCCCCATGTCCCTTTGAACACTGATGGAGATGCTCTTTTATTGATTGCTCCAAAGGAGCTGTGATAGATGCAGGTCAGAGTGAAGCATTCTCAGGATTTAGCTGCAGTTCCTGTGCACTGGCCACTAGAGATATTTGGATGTCTTTGTCTTTTTTTAATTTTTAAAAAATGTTCTGTCACCACCTTAAGTGTTCAATGTGGTGAATGGATCCCTGCAGGGACTGTGAGTGAATGTCTCCCAGGGACCGGACAAGACTACAAACTGTCCGATAAGGAGGTGCAGGGGTAGCTGATAAGCAAAACGGGTAAGTTCAATTTGGCACGGTGCAGAGCGGTTGAACTTCTAAGTCCATTTTGCATATCAGTGATGTTATGTGTCCTGGGGGTGGGTCAGAGACGCCTGCGGGAGAGTCAGAAAGCCTCTTGGTCTTCACCAACCCCCAGCTCTCAATGAACGTGATTGACTGTGACATGAGGGCCTCAGAAGCTGAGATAACACCAGAGGGCTGGTCACATTATTTGTTATTCAGCTATCCCAGCTTCTGCAGCTCAAACAGAATCAACATGCCTCTGTGCTAGTGTTTCTCCACAGCACACTGTAAAGGATTTGCTTCAAGCAAAACAATGATTATGCTTACCGGAGCACCAGGGGCTCCAGGGGTTCCGGAAATAGCTCCACCACTCTGAAATGACATTTTATGTTATAGCTCTATATTTTACAGTGTATCACACCTTAACCACCCACACAGATTCTTTTCTGCCAATATGATTGAAGGCACTGCGCCATGCATTCAGTGGATCACAATGACATTATCAGTGAGTTATTTGAAAAGTCTTTACCTGCAGCTTGTACAGACTGCTCATCCCATTGCCCTCCACATAGGGTACACCCTACAACAGAGTCAACACTAAATCAAACGTTTCCTCTCAGATTCTGCTCACTGTACTGTGAGCACCAGGAGTCTTTACAGAAAACTGTACACTGTTAAGCCCTTAAAAGCTACATAAGAGAGATCAACAGCTCATTTGGTGATTAAACATAGAGAGGGGAAAAGAGGTGCAAGAGACTGAAGAGGGAAAAGAAATACTTAAAGAAAGACTAAATCTTTGAGCTAGTGGTAATTCAAAAGCAAGAGTACTGCAGAAATACAAAAGAGCACACTGATTAAAAGAGATTTGGGTCTGAGAATGAAGTAATCTAGACTTCTTGAGTGCTATTAGAACATAAATGAATGTTTTTTCCCATGCTAGATTGGTAGAGGGCAACTATTATAAAAACAGAAGGAGTCAAGGCTCTCATTGAGAAGCAAGAAATGCTTGTGCCCTTTTCAGGCCACTGAACCATCCCCTGT